GTATATAGAATCAAGAGATGCGTATTGAAGATAAGGCAGAGGAGGGGTCAGAGAACGAGTCTGAGCGCCAGAATATGTAGAGATCTGCCGAACATGCCCCCATTCGAAGCACTCGCCTTGTAGCCGGCCAAGGGTTGCCAGCTTGGCACCTTTATTGCCTTCTCAGGCATTGTGGAGTCTCAACATGGCAAGAGAGAGGGAGAGAGGCAAAAACATGAGGCGAACCCAGTTATCCGAGACTGGAGGATGGGCCGGACAGGCTAGTCTAACGAAAGTTTGTAAATGTGTGAATGCAGTGGTGGATAGAAATATTTTCGCACTTGAGTTTAACGTCAGACGGTATTTTCTCAAGATCGTCGTCATGGCAACGAAGGCAAGAAACGGGTCTATGCCACCTGTGGGCGCGTATAAATTTGATTTACGCACCCTCGGCCGTTTGGACGGCTGGCGAGTTGACGTGCCTCTAGACGTGGCCCAATCTTGCCCAAGCTCTAACCCCCCGGGCGTTAGTCAACCAGTCGGCCATAAAGCGAGTCGACCAGGCGGAACTGTATGCAAGGCCTAGAAGCTAGAAGAGCTGAAGTTGGAGGCCACTTTGACAGGCCCATAAAGCTGTACCGCGTGAATGGAGCTTGCATGTAGACCTTAGCGTCAGCAAAATGAATCGTCAAGACGATAGGTTAAATTGACACTTACGAAAAAATGGGTTATAAGCCCAGAAAATAAGCGGCTGTTGCGCAGATAAAATACGGTACTAGAGACAAGCTGGCTGGGCAACTAAGTGACCAGTCAAATGAATGACAGTGGACAGTGCTGACCCGTAAATTCTGCATCTTTTCACCTCATTCATTTGCCCAAGCCGCAGACACATCGGAAATGACTCAGGCTCTGAAAGGGATGGAGCCAAATCGGCCGCTACGCACGTCTCTGGACCGGCCATCCTTAATTCACTTGGTAGACACCTGACTCGACGGGGATACCTTGGGTGTAAGACTCTCGGACAGAGGAAAAACATGATGACATTAATGAATATCAGGCAGAAAAACTGAAAAATGGCCAGCTTCCCGGCCGTTGACTGCCGCTGCCCGGAGTAGGATCGCATATAATAAGCCTCCTCCCTCTTAACACCATTGTACTGGCTCGCTCAGCGAG